CATCCCGACCCCGCGCTCTTACGCTGAGGCGATCGCGGGTGAGTACTCCTCTCAGTGGCAGTCAGCCATGGACGCAGAGATGGCATCCTGGAAGTCCACTGGCACTTACGTTGACGAGGTTCCCCCTCCTGGGGCGAACATCGTCAGTGGCATGTGGATTTTCAGGGTGAAGCGGTCGTCGGGTTCTCCGCCTGTCTTCAAGGCTCGTTACGTTGCTTGAGGCTTCAGTCAGCGAGAGGGAGTAGACTTCTTTCAGACCTTCTCCCCCACCCCGAAGATGACCACTCTTCGGGTGCTACTGCACGTTGCTGCTCAGCGTGACTACGAGCTTCACTCTCTTGACTTCAGCACAGCTTTCCTGCAGGGCAGCCTGCACGAGGAGATCTGGCTGCGCCGCCCTCCTGGCTTCACTGGGTCGTTTCCTCCTGGTACCCAGTGGAGCCTCCGGCGGCCGGTCTACGGTCTCCGCCAGGCGCCACGTGAGTGGCACGACACACTGAGGACTACTCTTGCGGCACTTGGGTTCGCTCCTTCTACTGCTGACCCGTCGCCGTTTCTGCGCACCGACACTTCGCTGCCGCCGTTCTACATCCTCGTGTACGTCGACGACTTGGTCTTTGCCACTGCTGACACTGAGGCTCTCGCCCACGTGAAGTCGGAGCTGCAGAAGAGACACACGTGCACAGACCTGGGTGAACTGCGCAGCTACCTTGGCTTGCAGATCACCCGGGACAGAGTACGCCGCACCATCACACTGACTCAGTCACACATGGTGCAGCAGGTCCTTCAGCGCTTCGGCTTCACCTGGTCCTCAGCACAGGCCACTCCTCTGGCTACAGGTCACTCGCTCTCAGCTCTGCCTTCGGATGAGTCCGTAGAGCCGAGTGGTCCTTACCCAGAGCTAGTTGGTTGCCTCATGTACCTGATGACTTGCACTCGTCCTGACCTAGCATACCCTCTTGGCCTTCTGGCCCGCTACGTGGCTCCTGGCAGGCACCGAAAGGTGCACTGGGATGCTGCAAAGAGGGTATTGCGCTACTTGTGCAGTACATCGGGCATGGGGCTCGTGCTTGGAGGAGGGAGCTCAGTTGTTCTCACTGGGCACTCAGACGCTTCTTGGGTTGACGACCAGGCTACTCAGCGGTCGTCACAGGGTTACACCTTCAGCCTTGGCTCTGGCTCAGTTTCGTGGCGTTCTACGCGTTCGTCTTCAGTTCTCAGCTCCAGTTGTGAGGCTGAGATCTACGCCACAGCCATGGCTGCACAGGAGTTACGCTGGCTCACCTACCTGCTGACCGACCTGGGAGAGCGGCCTAGTTCTCCTCCAGTGCTGTACGTAAACAACAAGGCTGCCATTGCCTTGTGTGAGGAGCACAGACTGGAGCACAGAACGAAGCACATCGCTCTCCGTTACTTCCTGGCTCGAGAGCTGCAGCAGCGCGGTCAGCTTCGTCTGCGTTACGTGGCCACTCAGGCCAACACCGCTGATATATTCACCAAGGCACTTCAGCCTGGTGATCATCAGCGCTTCTGCACTATGCTGGGGCTGGTGCCCACTTTTCCTCACTTGCTGTAGGCTTTGCCTGTACTGTGATCTCTATATATATACACTTGCCTGTTTGCTCTGCTATGTTGAGATCACCTTGCTGTTTGTGTTGCATATATGCCTCTGCATGTGAACTGGCCCTGTGGCCCTTTGTTTGTGCTCAGAGTGTATGGTGACGTTGTGATCCACCCTGAGCTTGCTTGCCTTTCTTGACTGGTCTTATGACCCCTTGCTCTCCCCCACTTTGCCTATGGGGGTGTGTCAAACACTATATATGTGTTATTGCTGTGTAGGCTATAGTGGGTTAACCTTTAGGGGGTACACAACTCTAGGGTTTCATACTTGTACTCCAATGTTTCATAGTTCAATCACTTCTTGTTTCTGACAGACGGGTGTGTGCGCCGTCCCCTGCTCCTCCTCCTCCTCCGTCTCCCACTTCTGCAGCTGCCGCTGAGGGGGGTGGATGTGTTGGAGCCGTCGGAGTTGGAGTGGTACCAGGGGGGTGGCGGGTGAGCAGTACTAGGGGAATAGCAAGGGGTGTGTGATAGGGGCGTGGGGCAGTTGGCGGAGGTTGAGCGGAGGTAGCAGTCGTGTCGCCAGCAGCACCAGTAGTCCGGAGGCTAAAATCTCCGGTAGTCGCCAGTCGCCTGTGGGTCAGTTGCTCCAGTCAGGAGGCTACAATCTCCGCGGAGCCAGTTACTCCTGTAGTCCGGGCCATTGCTTCGGTAGCCACTGAGCCAGCAGCTCCTGTGTGTCTGCAGCTTCCGCCGTCGCCTCCCATCTCCTCTCCTCTCACAGTCCCTCCTCCTCCTCACATGCCCTCTGTGACTACCTCTAGCTTTACTTGTGCTTATGAACTATTTTATGACTGCATGCTGTACTGATTATACCCCACTTTGCCTATGGGGGTGTGTCAGAATGTTGTAATTGTCTAGTCTGCAGTGGGGTACTCTATAGTGAGTATAACCTTGTTAGGGTTTGCTATATGTAGTGCCCTGCTTACTAGTGAAACCTCTCCTTCCTGATTCTATTTTCTCATTCCTCTTTCTTCACAAGCAGGGCGGCGCGCGGCTAGAGCAGGGCGGCGCGCGACCAGAGCAGGGCGGCGCGCGGCCACAGCAGGGCAGTAGCAGGCAGCAGCAGGCAGTAGCTCCTAGGGCAAAAGCACCTAGGGCCCCCTCTTTTTTTTAATCATTATTTTAATTTTATTTAGGGTTTAGCAGGGCGCTGGCGCAGGGCAGGGCACGGGCGCAGGGCAGGGCGCTGGCGCAGGGCAGGGCGTGCGCGAGGCAGCGCGACGCGGGGCAAGGCAGGGCGTGCGCAGGGCAGCGCGACGCAAGGTAGTGGGGTAACGGGGTGACCGCAAAACAATCCAACGAACCTACTGCTCTAAAACCATGTGAAGATAGCAAGCAGGAAATGATTGCATTGAATGAAATATGGATACAAGTACTAACCCTAACTTTGGGTTGTACCCCATACGGGCTACCCCACTATAGCCTACACAGAACTAGCACATATATAGTTTGACAAAACCAACATGCGCCAAAGGGTGGGAGTACTTCAGCCGTTAATTCACATGGTAGACCCAAGAGCAGGCCTAAGCGAGCGATGCATTTCGAATCTTCTGCCTCTCCATTCTCAATCTCCCTCCTCGTATACTGATGTCACCTCATCTGCCCTGTTCCAAAGAGTTCCAAAGGCTTTCTCCATCTTCCAAAGGCCTGGCTTTGTTGGCAGTGTCTCTTGGCTGTTCAATTCCACTCGCACCAGTTGGATTGGGAGACTGGCGGGTTTATTGGACAATGCAATGAAATAACACATGCTCTTCTAGTTTAATTTGTCAAGTGTGGCAAGTGTGTCCCGTCAGGTCCACTTTGATCTCAATACATTCCAAATTGTATGGCGTCTTTGAAACTACCATGGAACTTGCCTGTCGGAAACAAGATCAAGACAAAGAATACCGAAGCTAGGAAAGTACTTCAGTCTTTGTAGCAACTGTAGCAAATCAACTAAGCTGATAGCTCTTGCATTTACACGTATTACCTCCATAAGTATTTGTACACATGTATTTGAGAGTCTCCACCTAGATCCCTGAGCTTACCATATATCAAAGTCAAGGGGATATGATGACTAGAGTAAATAATATAGTGAATGTAAGCAAGGTCCAGAACCTCTGTACTGTATTGACGTCTTAAGGAAGGCAGAATGGTACACCGTCTTGTACTCATTTCATTTTCTTTGGATCGAATACAAATCCCCCCCAAACCCCTCGCTCCCCTCACTCCCAGGATCACCGCATCATTCGTGTGAGGCGTGCATCAGCCCATAAATTTCCAGCCGCTAGTTCGCTTAGGTTTGTGGCCAACGGCTCAGGGTTTACGAAGCTCGCGATTGCACATTTATGACCTGCTCGAGCGAATGGTCATGAGTTTATAACGTGACGTGGTTTTGGAACTTTCGGCCGTGATGGGGAATCTAGAAACTCAAATGATTTGTCACATGGGTGAACGATGGAAATTGAATCCACGGGTTTGGGTTTCTGGAAGAAAAGGCAAATCTAGTTGCCATCATCCGTATCTACGTCCGATCGAAGGCAGGCAGCTTTCCCGCCAACGGCAGCTTCATATCAGCGAGCGAATGCCCGCGTGGGAACAGATGCAAAAAAATCCAGGAACCCCTGACGTTTTCCGTTTTCTTCTCGATCTTGTCCAAATAAAACAAAATTTGGATATTGTTCACGGTGGTGGTGAGAAGTCGCATTTCTGCAAAAAAAACTTTTCAAACATGCTTGATAAACGAAAACAGATTGCTTCCATAAGCCATGCAACAGCACATTGGTGATTTATTTGTTGGAATACTGTACACTTCAATTGCTTCTGTGATCATTATTTCAACGAGGACCAAGACCCCAGATTTGCTTCCTCCCACCAGCTCAGCTTCCCAAATCCTGTCTCTTCACCGTCAGTCCTATCCGCTCTCCAGAGCAACTTTTGTGATGTGCTGCTGATGCTGTCCACTGTACGGTAACGCCAGTCGTCAGACCCTCACAACTTTCTCTTTCGGCTATTCCTGCCACACAAGTGTGTTTCTTACCAGACGCACACATCCTTTTGAAGCGTTGCGTGTCTCTAGGACTTTGAGGGAGCAGTTTCCGAAGCTACTGAGGTATTTTTTATTTTCTTTTTTTACCGACACCAGCGAGAGACGTGACCTGAAAAGCACTACACGCACATTTGAGTACGGCTGCATAATCTGGTTAACTACGAACCTAAAGGTGGCGTTGCGCTTAAACTTCTCGGCGTGAATCTTGTTAATCGATAATCGTACTCAGTCTTTCCCGTTAACTATTAAAAGGCTCGTTCTTCCTGGCACAAATCGCTCTTAAAGTGAACATTTACGATTTCCATCACAAACGATAATCTGATATTGGGATAAGCCGTCCGATCCAGCAATGGACCCTCTTTCCCGTGTCATCCGAGACGGTGACGTGCCAAACAGCCAGCCTCAAAACACCAACAGCAGTCCCAACCTCCCTCCTCGTTCTACACACCCACACTCACACCCCCCTCTCGCAACCTTCCCTTCTTCTTCGGGAGTATCTCTATCAGCTGTCCCCTCCTCTCTCTCCCCTCTCCCTCTTTCCTCCTCACTCTCCTCCCTCCCTCTTTCCACCTCTCTTCCCACCCTCCCTCTATCCTCTACCTATCCCTCCTTTCCCCCTCCCTCCACCTTCCCATCCTCCTCTCACCACCTCCTCCCCAACTGGTGGTGCGGCCACCACGCGGCCAATCAGAGCTCGCCATTTGGCAGGCGACCGCAATCCGTAAGCCCCCCAGGCCTCCCCCTTGTCCCCCCATCCGGATCCCTCGGGGAAAGAGGGGGAGCAGGCGGAATGGAAGGGGAGGGGATGGGAGGGAGAGAAGAGGGAACGGAAGGGGGAGAAGGTCGAGGAGGAAGGGGAGGAGGAGGAGGAGGAGGAGGAGGAGGAGGAGGAGGAGGAGGAGGAGGAGGAGGAGGAGGAGGAGGAGGAGGAGGAGGAGGAGGAGGAGGAGGAGGAGAGGGAGAAGGGGGTGAGGAAGAAGAGCAGGTTATAAGCATCAAGCCGATGAGATCTTGGACCCCTTCCGGCAAAAATGAGAAGCAGCAGCAGCAGCAGCAGCAGCAGCAGCACCACCACCACCACCAGCAGCAGCAGCAGCAGCACCACCACCACCAGCAGCAGCAGCAGCAGCGGCAGCAGCAGCAGCAGCAGCACCACCACCACCACCAGCAGCAGCAGCAGCAGCAGCAGCAGCAGCAGCAGCAGCAGCAGCAGCAGCAGCAGCAGCAGCAGCAGCAGCAGCAGCAGCAGCAGCAGCAGCAGCACCACCACCACCACCACCACCAGCAGCAGCAGCGGCAGCAGCAGCAGCAGCAGCACCACCAGCAGCAGCAGCGGCAGCAGCAGCATCTGGACCCTATGGGTTCTGCCTTTGTGCGTGCTCTTTCAGTCAACCGCTCTTTTCCATCCCTCGGCGGCGGCGCAGGCGCTTCAGGTGCAACACCAGCAGCAGCAGCAGCAGCAGCACCAGCTGCAGCAGAGTCACCAGCACCAGCAGCAACAACTAAGTCAGCAGCAGCAGCAACAGCAGCAGCAGTAGCAACAGGAGCAGGAGTAATAAAATCAGACGACGCAACGGGAGCAGCAGCAGCATTGGAGGCTGTAACGGGAACAGCAACAGATATGGGGCTAATGGGGAAGATTCCCGAAGATTCTGCGGGAGACAGGGAGAAAGGCAGGGAAGTTCAAAGAGTGGAAACCCGCTGGGGTTTGGGTGCAAGGCTGGGAGGCTCGCCGCTTGCTTTGGGGCGTTCTCGAGTTCCCCGAACCGGAGCAGCAGGCTCGGGAAGGGAGCCGGAGTCTTCAGCCGGAGTTGCTGGGGCGGGTTCATCTGGGGGAGGCGGTACTGAGAGGGATCTGTTCAAGGAGACTCAGGTGTTTCCGCTGGCAGTGTTTAAAGAGCCTGAGTTTTCACCTGGGCCGGGTTCACCCAGGGGAGGCGCTACTGAGCGGGTGTTATTCAGGGAAACTCAGGTGTTTCCGCTGGCGAAAACCCACAGCCCTCTCTCGGGCTTTCTTGCACCTATGGCCGGTGGGAACGAGAGCGGTGCTGCTGCTGGTGCTGGTGGCGGTGGTGCTGATTCTGGTGGCGGTGGCAGTGGTGGTGGTGCTGCTGCTGTTGTTGTTGCTGCAGCGGGTGCTGCTCCTGCTGCTGCTGCTGGTGGTGGTGGTGCTGCTGGCGGCGGTGTTTCTATGGGCGATGGCAGCAGCAGCGGCAAAGTTGACGCCGTTGGTGCCGGGGGAAGGGCAGGAGCGGGAGCAGGATCGACGGATTTGGGAGTGGGTTTAACAGGAGGAGGGTTAGTTGGAAGGAGTACGTTAATAGGAGGTTTGCTGGGGGGAGGTAGATCTCGGGGAGGGTTACTTGGGGGAGGTACATCCGGAGGAGGGTTACTGGGGGAAGGTAGATCAGAGGGTGGGTCACTGGGGGGAGGTACAACCAGAGGAGGGTTACTTGGGGGAGGTACATCCGGAGGAGGGCTTTCGGGGGGAGGCTTATTCGCAGGACAGGCTCAGTTCCCGGACCTCAGCACGCAGCTGGGCCTCAGGTTCGGGCTCTCTGCTTCGGCCGGACCTGACTCCGGCGACAGGAGAGACGGAAATAGGCATGGGACTAGAGACGGGACAACGGAAGGAAATACAGATAGAGATGGAGACAGGGAGGGAGATAGGAGTCGAGATGGAGCCAGGCTTGCAGAGAGCAGGCCGCCAGAGAGCATTGAGTATGAGAGCCGGGAGCTAGCCCGAGCGGTGCAGCAGAACAGAATACTAGAAGAGGAGATCGTACGGCTGCAGGTGCAATCGTGGGAGCTTAAGGAGCAGAACCAGGAGCTGCACTCGCGGGTGGTTCGGCTGGAAAATACTATGAAGTATCGGGAGCAGAGAGGGGTTGGGAGCGGTGCGGGTGGGTGGGTGCAGCCGCAGCTTCAGCGGATGGAGAATCAGGTGGTGGTGCTGACGGGACGGGTGCTGCAGCTGCAGCAGCAGAACCGCACGGCTAAGGGAGAGATTGAGAGGCTGAGGAAGGAGTTGGATGCGGTGAGGGGGAAAGGGGTGGCGGAGGGGGGAGGGGGAGGGGGAGGGGGGGGAGAAGGGGGCAGGGGAAGCGGAGGGAGGGTTGGAGGGGGCCGGGTGGGGAAGGGTGAGAGGGGAAGGGAGGGGATGAAAGTGGAGTGGGAGAGAGTTGAGATGGATGTGAGTGGAACAGGAGGAGGAGGAGGAGGGAGAGCTATGGGTGGAGAGGGAAGAACGTAGTGAACGGGGGATTGGGGGGATGAGTAGCAGAGGGAAGGAGCAGAAGGGCACTGATTTGCAGGGAAGTAAAGCTGATGTTGGTGCTGCTGGTGGTGATGCTGCCGCTACCGCTGCTGCCGCCACTGCTGCTGCTACTGGTCCTGTTGACGTGGATGTTGTTGGTGCTGGTGGTGGTGATGCTGTTAAAACTGCTGTTGCCACCATTGCTGCTGCCGCCACTGCTGTTGCTACTGGTCCTGTTGACGTGGATGTTGGTGGTGCTGTTGATGCTGCTGCTGTCGCTGGTGCAGCTTCTGTGGATGCTGGGGGTGGCAATGCTCCTGATGCTGCTGATCCTGGCAATGCTGCCGCTAGAGGTGTTGATAGGGATCCTCCTGCTACTGCTCCTGCTACTGCTACTGCTACTGTGACTGCTTCTGCTGCTGCTACTGCTACTGTGACTGCTTCTGCTACTGCTTCTGCTTCTGCTGGTCCCGCCGCTGCTGCAGCTCCAATCACCACCGCTTTAGCCGCCATGAACGTTCGTACAGAGGTGAGCAGGGTAGAGGAGGCAAGCTCGGGGGAGGGGAAGAGGGGAGGGATGCTAGGGAAGCGAGATAGGGAGTGTCACGACGAGGGGGAGGGGGAAGAAGAGGAGGAGGGGGGGGGTGGGCCAACCTGAATATCTTTGTCACTATGGTGTCGACTCAAAAGTCACCCCGAATGGGGTGTGGCAGAGGCAGGAAAGGGAGTCTCAGGAGGAAAGGGAGGGGGGAGAAGAAGAGGAGGAGGGTGCGCCCAACTGGAACTACTTTGCCACTGGAGGGTGTTGACTCGTATTTCACCTCTAGCAGGGTTTGTCAGAGGCAAGAAAGGGAGTGTCAGGAGGAGGGGGGAGAGGAGGGGGAGGTGGGGGGGAGCGAGGAAGAGGGGGGAGAATTAAGAGAAGGTGGGGGTCCAGCTTGATTACCTTGGTGATTGCTGATTCGACTCGTAGGTTACCTTCAGAGCGGCGCTAAGGAAGCGAGGACAGGAATCTTGGGAGGAGGGGTGGTGGGGGAGGAGGAGGAGGGTGGTGGTTGGTCCAACCTGAATATCTTTGTCACTATGGTGTCGACTTAAAAGTCACCCCGAACGGGGTGTAGCAGAGGCAGGAAAGGGAGTCTCGGGAGGAGGGGGAGGGGTGGGGAGGGAGGGAGGGGAGAAGAGAAGGAAGGTCCGACTTGAAGGAAGGTGCGGGAGGAGGAGGAGAGCGGCTGTCCAGCTCTGACTAACTTGGCGACTGTGGTGTCGACTCAATTGGAAAGTCACTTCAAACGGGCACCTACGGAGGCAAAAAAGTAGTCTCAGGAGGAGGGATGGGGGAGGAGGAGGAAGAGGAGGTAGGTGGGCCGATTTGAACAGCTTCTGCAGCAAAGCATGCAGCAGAGAGGACGGTGCAGCCGATAGGAGGGTGCAGCAGACAGGAGGGTGCAGCAGGGAGTAGAGTAGAGAGGCTAGAGCATGCAACTATCAGGTAAGTGTAATAAAGAAGTGTGTCACTTGGCTGGTGGGATCAAATGTTGCAGAAGAAAGTGCATCTCAAACGGCTGCAGCAGAGGCTAGAACAGAGAGGTTAGAGCATGCAGCTGTCAGGTTAGTGCACTAGGGATCAGAGTGTCTTGCTTGGCTGGTAGGATCGGGCAGACGGGAGTGCAGTTGGAGTGGGTGCAGCAGAGGCTGGCGCAGAAGCTTGGACGTGTGGTGTGATACATCCTAAAAAAATAAATATTGCTCTTTGCACTTCTTTTTTGCTCTTTTTGTATTCATATAATATAGTTATTTGCTGCAAGGCCTGCTCATTCAGTGCTTCGGTGTGCATTCAGAAGACCTTTCTATATTACTGATCATTGCTGAGTTTTTGGGCTTGTTACAGGTCTAGCTCTCTCAGGACAGGGAGAGCTCTAGTAAGGCTACTTAGGTCGTGTTCCTACGGGCGAGCCTCGTATCAGTAAAGAAATTTCTCAAACTTCAACGTTATAAAACACCTCGTATCAGGATTGTACCGAATCAGCGCACCAATCATATCGCTCGCACAACATCGCTCGAACGTGGAGAATCCCCCGGGCACGGTTCCCTTTGATGAGCAGCCGTTTGCCCTGTGTTTGCGGCCGACAATCATCCCTGCTTGGTTTCGTAACGTGGCATTGGAGCGCTGCGCACGAACGTGCAGACTTTTCACAAACAAGGAACATCAGCATTGACTTTCCGAGGCGCGATGTTCAGCTGCGGCAAAGCACGCACAATGCTGGTTCGTAACAAGATCTCATAGTTAGCGAACAACGGAATGATTGGAATAGAAACGAATGGGGTACAAATGAGCAACCCTAGAAGCTGTACCCCCTAGAGTGCAACTCACTATAGCCTATCATATCAATGTTCAACATTTGACACACCCCCATAGGCTAAGTGAGGGGCATCAAAGCAAGCAAGGTGAACAAACGGTCACAAGACCAGTCAAAGCAAGAACCAAGGCAAGCTCAGGGTGGATCTCAAGGACACCACACAAATTCCGAGCGCAAGCAAGCGGCCACAAGGCCAGTTCAAGAGTTCACTAGGATATAAATACAAAGCACAAAAAACAGAGCAAGCAACAGGACTACAGCAACCGAGGGCCTACCTCAACAAGCCCCAACTGCACACAGAATCTGTGGTGGTCACCAAGCGCCAAGGCCTTGGTGAAGACGTCTGCAGTGTTGGCCTCTGAGGCCACAAAGTCCAGGCGTGCCTGACCGCGTCGCTGCAGCTCTCGCAGGAGGAAGTAACCTCACGTCAATATGCTTCACTCTGCTCTCCAGTCGAGGCTCTCGACACAGGAGGATCATGGCCTTGTTGTCAGCGTACAAGGTCGGTGCAGAGCGAGGCCGCTCACCAAGGTCAGCGAGCAAGAAGGTCAACCAGCGAAGCTCCTGTGCCGCCATGGCACCAGCGTTAGATCTCTGCCTCTGCACTGGAAGTAGCCACAGACGACGACCGTGTAGACCTCCACGACACTAGCACCAGCTCCCAGACTGAAGCAGTAACCCTGAGTCGAACGCTGAGTCTCCACGTCGTCAGCGTAGGAAGAGTCGCAAGATGACCAGTCAACGCCACTGGCTGAGTCCCTCCAAGCACAAGCCCCAAGCCTGATGTAGTCGCCAGGTACTTCGCCACCCTCACAGCCAGCTGTCCAGTGGACAGGGCGGTGTCTCCCAGTCGCAACAAAGCGAGAAAGGATGCTGAGTGGAAAGGCGAGGTCCGGTCGAGTAACAAGTCAATCAGGTACACGAGGGCCGCCCACCAGCTCTGCGTAGGGTCCACTGGGACTCAAAGGCTCGTCAGGGAAAAAGGGGCCACGTAGTCTGTGGTCAACAGCAAGAGGAGTGGGCTGTGTGGTGGAGAACTGGAAGTCGAACCGCCGAAGGACTGCTGCACCATGTGTGACTGCGTCAGTGTGATGTGTGCGCGAGCGGCTCTGTCCCGGGTGATCTGCAGGCCAAGGTAGCGCTGCAGCTCACCCAGGTCAGTGCACTTGTGTCTCTTCTGCAGTTCGGACTTCACCTGAGCCAGGGCTGCCCT